TTTTTTCAGCTTCCATTTTTGATTTTCACTCTTTATTAATGTGTTCTTACACGATATGTATTTGGATCTGTAAATGTGACTTTTTCAATACATATCGTCGCTTGGGTAAAAGATTGTCGTATGTTACGCACGTACGTATGACGCTTACGACAATCTTTTACCCAGGCGACGATATGTAATTGCAAATGTCTGTGAAATTCACAGTCTTTATTTAACTATTTAAAAATACGTTCTTTGAAAACGAAATAAACTAAACTCAGATGGCTCTACCTGTGTGTCGGATGAAAATACGAACATTTCTATTTCGTGTGGACGTGCATCTGCTTTGCATCTAATTTGCCTCTGCTCGATATGCTGGCATTTGTAAAAAGTGTGGCATGTACACATGCAAATACATATCGTGTAAGAACACCTTTACCGCCAAACAATACTGTGCATATATAATTATATGCTGTCAAAATTTTACCTATTTATTTTTACTTTCAACCGTAAAATGGCCTATTTTCTATCAATTGGCACAGGCGGTAATAAAGAGTGAACATGAAAATGAAAGCTGAAAAAGCACAAAAAAGCGTACGTTACTTGCAAGCTATAAGGAAAATATAAATTTTAACAATTTCAGCAACACACAAAAATAAAGCTTTCGCACGATCGTTTGTTTGGTTTTGCAACTGTCAAAATTTTACTTTGCATTTGGCACAGCAAAATTAAATTTATTTGTACACCATAGCAGATTTTTCCACCCCGTCTCACAACAGAGAAAAAAATTTACCGATTGGCACAGGCTCTATGAGGCGCGTTCATAAGACGTAGCTGTTGTCTATCCGTTGACTGTTTGTCTTAGGGCCGGATGTTCAATGTTTGGTTATCACTACTTGCCGGTTAAACATCATTATCGACGTTTTCGACATCATACATATAACATGTGATCGATAAAGCAGTCATTGTATTTAGCCGTAGCTTCTACCTCCGATTAGTGCTAATCAGACATTAAACAACCGGCCCTTAGAAACAGTTGAGTAGGTCCGCTCTCGCTACCTGAACTCAACGTGTTGGGTTAGCCTAAAAGCTGATCGAAAAGACTGACGCCGTTTATGTTAAATGTAACGCCGCTTTGTTAGGTGGCATCTGTAAAGGAATTTATTAAATTTTATATTACTGATGTGATAAAGTAACTAAAATATTTTATAATAATACGTTTTTTAATATATGTTCTTTATGATGTTTGCTTTATAATTATACACTGTTTAATTCATTATTCATCAAGCCGTTTCTAAGACGTAATTTTTTGGTTCTACAGTTGCCAGCAGTTTCGTAGCAGTTGCGCTAAACAGCTACGTCTTATGAACACGCCCATTAATTGCTAGTGTGACTTGGCATGAGATATTTTTACTGAATTCCAGGGTTAAGCGCTGGTTATACTTGCATTGTGCTGCAGCGCATAACATGAATACTGCCACATATCGAATCTGTTTAATGGGCTCTGCATACAAGCGATTTTCCAACGTAGTGCATAACAGGGCAGAGCAGCGAAGTCTGGAAAATTTTAGTTTTTCGCTATGTGACATTTTTAAACAGAGAATCCATTCTCATTGCTCTCATTCGTCTGTTCCAGTACCCATCAGATTTACAGGAATTACTGAGAAGTCGTTTTTGTACATACATTGGGGCATATTTATAGTCGAAACAAAGTCGATTATAAAGTTACTTGCCGCCATCTCATTGAAAATTATGACGAAAAGCAGCAACTAACTTTAGTGTCGACTTCATTTAGGCTATGAATATGCATTCTTCAGTTATGTCTTCCTAACTAAATCCTGGAGTACTGGAACAGACTCACTGATTACACTGAACAGCTGATTATGGGAAATTATGCGCTCTATGCGGAGTATAATTACACCCCTGCTTAACACGCGCTGCTTGTCTATGCCCTGCACTTGCTTTAGTTTAAACACTCGACCTAGCATGAACGAAGGACACAAGATCACGTAAGAACAAGAGAGTGAAAAAAGGCGATTTTTGAGCGGGTTCTACGCCATCTTGTTTAACGGTCGAAGTGTATGCAAGAATGATTTTGGATACTAAATTGAATGCGGATGTTTGCACATTGGCGGAGAAGCGTTCGACCTGCGGTACAACACGGCTGTACGATGAGTCTGAACTTTAATGGGCGGCTTTAGAAATACAGAAAAAATTTGCGCTGTTACGGGCTTACAATTCAGCGGGTATACATTTTTTGTAACAAACCCTGTTGTTACCATCTGCTCACACTGGTGACATGAATAGACAGCATTTGTCAACCGGCTTGGCAGCACTAGTTCACAGTGTATACAGTGTGCCAAGTAATGACATTTAATTTCTCTCATATCCATATTTGACAATTGCTTGAGTGTGTTAGTTAAAATTTTGAAATTTGTTGTCACTTTCTTTAACCTTTTTTGTAGTTTGAATTTGAAATTTTTTTTGAAATCGTGAACAGAAGAAAATATTAGCAAAAAATAAATATACATAGAAAGCCAAAAAAACTATGAGCGTAGCGGTAGGTTCTTCCCCGTACGCAACGCGGGATCCCGAAGGTGCCCAAAATAGCCCAGAAATCACTCCCGTACTCAACAAAATGGGCAATAGAGAGCGAAAATTGGAACGTATAGCGTCGTAAGTGTCTTCTTCTTCCTGCCCAAAACAGCCCGGACTTTTTCTTCGGGTAAAAAACGGATAAAGCATCAAAGTGCATATCAGCTGTTTTGTGTTTACATGTTGCCTGTTTCTAGTGATGTGCTGAGTCAATACTTTTAAGTATTGATCGATATGCGGTACCGATTTAAAAAGTATCCAATACTCTCGATATTCGGAACAGAAACATTTAGGTTTCGAATAAAAGCGCACATAGGCCAAAAATATGGAAAAAACGGTTCAGGGGAAACTCGCCTATAAAAACCCGAATGTAGGAGCAAATAGAGCTTTTAATACGGATTCAGATGAAAGATTTATATATGTCGGTTCGCGGCCATAATGCAGAGACACTCTTACTTGTTTGACGCATTTTTGTTCCAGCTGAATCGGACGATATAATTTTTTTAGGCCTGGAGCAGATTCTGTAACCAGTTAGCGACAATTTTCGAATCGGCATCGGTTTTGTTGACATATGATATGAAATATTTTTACGTCAACAAGTGCGATATCGATCCGAAACTTGTCGCTAAATGGTTACAGAATCTCCCCCCTGAAAGGCTTCTTCATCCGCAAAAGCATCTTTCTTGATCCTTGGATCAACTAAGAATAAAACTGATAAAATAATATTTCTTTGTTGCGATAAGTTCAAGTGTTTTAGCCGATATTATATAATAATAATAATAATAGATTGGCGCTTACACATATGTTAGTGTTTGGCCGAGCTTCTCCTCCGATTTGTGGCGTGCGCCTTGATATTGTCACACAAAGCGGAGGGACCTACAGTTTAACGCCGACTCCGAACGGCGATTGTATTTTTATGAGAAGCTTTTTTTCATGGCAGAAATACACTCGGAGGTTTGCCATTGCCTGCCCAGGGACGACCGCTGTTAAGAAAAAACCTTTTTCTATATTTTCTGGGATGTTGCTTTGACCAGGGCTTGAACCCGGGTGCGGATGTGTGAAAGCGCGCACTGCTTACCACTACACCACAGCGGCCGACTTAAATTATTAATAAAAATAAAATGCCAAACAAGTACGTACAGTGTAGTACATACCATGATAAAAACACATCAAGGTAAAACCAAGGTTCATAGAATACAAGGTTACGTCATCAGCCATGGCCGCCATGTTGATGACGTAGATGGCTCAATTTTTGGAGTTGCCAGATTCCTAAAAAATTATCTTATAAAAATACACTATTTTAGTCAAAAATACATCACGTTTTATTTCAAATATTGTAACCCTGATATTTACCGTTTGACAATTTGCGTTGAAGTTTTTGTATTTTTCTGCGTCTTTGAGTTTATTTAAAATATTAAAAATTTAAGGGCGCTGTTTTTGATTGCAAAAATTTCACTGAAAAAGGTAATTTAGGTTTTATCGTATATCTAAAGATCAATTGCCATTTCGGCTTTTGCCAATGTTATGAACGCTTTTTATTTAAAAATGCGCGAGTGCGTTCTGCCCACTTTCACGAATAAAATCACCAGCAAATTTCAATTTGCATCGATTTACATTTCAGTTGTTACTATTATTATGTTGACCCGGTTTCACATTTTATGTTGTTATAATAAGCTTTGCCACGATTTTATATCAAAAATGCCCATTTGATTAGGATTCTTAAAATATGCTATACGGCAGCTATATTTTCTGCGTTTTGTGTACTCTCCTTCTTCGTAAAATATTTCAGGTAATCACAACTCACTTCGCAACTACGTCATTGGAGGAAAACAAATTTTTGACAGCACCATGTCGTAACCTTCCATGGTGTAATGAACTGAAGGTGGCGCATTCCCGAAACCGCTACTTTGGTTCTGCCGACTTTGACGTTTATGGCAATACGTAAACAAACTTTTTGTTTAAAAAAAAGTGCAAACGTATAGCAAACGTATTGTGTATTTTCAAGTGAAAAATCGAAGTAATTCGTGCGTTCTGAAGTAAAATGCGTTTTATTTGTAATAAAAACTTTATAAAAATATCGTGTCGTGTGTTGAATTGCAGCAGCCGTAGGGGTAAAGGCCCCAAATGCAGTTTTTTTTTTGTTTCCCCGCGACGACGCCTTGCCCAGAAAGTGGGTAGAGTTCTGCCGGCAGGAGAAGCCATACAAGTTAGACACCAGCGTAACATGCATGAA